CCCCATTACCCATAGCTTTGATTTCTTCCCCTAGTAGTTATAAAGGACAATTTGGGAGGGGGTGGGAGGGCAGTTAGAATGCTAGAGGTGAGATCCAATACCTTCTTACCTTTCCATGCTAGCCATCTGTCCTGGTTTTTAGCTGCAGCAGAGCTGGGTTTCTTTTTAGTAGCTAGAATCGTGCTGCGTTTTGCTTTCAGCATCGCAAGAGCTGAAACTTAGAGCTGTACTATACCTATGGCTGTACAAAAAGATAAAGCACCCTGCTTAAGTGAACCTCCAGCACTGGCCTTGTCTGCACTAGTTCTTGTCTGCTTTCTCCTAAAGATGAACAGTACTAAAATCTCCTCTCTTCTCTGTTACCCCAACTCTTAGGAAGTGACTTTCTCCCTTAAGGACTTAAGTATATTTTTAGCAGCATATTACGACATGAATCTGAATTGAGTGTGAATCTGGAATGTGTAAGTTGATGCTCTGGTAAGAATTGGATCAAATTTCAAGCCCCTTATTTGTAAAGCAGACTGGGACTTTGTCAATCCCAAAAAGCAAAACTTATTTTAATGAATTGCGTAATACTGTGCTCCCTGTGCTACTATTAATAAAAACAACCAAAGAAACAAAAAACCAACCAGCCAAACAAAAACCCACCCAAACTCACAAACTCCTTTTTTTCATACCATGTTATGCTACAGATAGCTGTTGTGTCCTTGGGAGCTTTTTTTGTACAGCTATTTCAAACAGCAGTTCAGTTTAACACACTAAGTTTGGGCTCTTGATGCTTGGATAGTAGTGGCAGAAGGGAGATGATCTAGCTGGCCTAGATGCTGCCTCTTGGACAGAAACAAATGCTGCTTGAAATTATTGGGGAAGTTTGAACATCTTGCATCTAAAGCAGCAGCAATCTTGCTTTCATGTACCAAGAAGTTTTACACAATGGCTAATACCTTTCTGAGTATGTTAAGATGTAAATCAATGGAGAAGTATACTTACATTTTAATTAATTAGGTTTAAAATGTAATATTCTCTTGAGATGAGTGCTGTTGAAGATAGTGCAGGGAAGTCTGGGGAAGGCTGTTTGTTTGCATGGTTTTAATTGCATCTGAAAATGGCTATGAAGGTAATTTTTCTTTTACTGAGAGTTTAGGTTGTGAGGCATGCTCGTGTGCCAGTTAATAGAATCTGAAGAAATAATTGCTGTGATGGGCATATTCTTGAAGTTTACGCTAACAGAGTTCCACGTGGTTTGCATATTGCTCCAGGGAAGAACCTGGAATCACATGCAGCAGGTCTTGTGCATTATTATATTGCATGGGAAAACTGTTTCCTTCTTTAGTATGTTAATAGATTACAGACTGGACTGGTCTGCCAACATCCCCTATGTCTTTTAGTTTATGGATGTGATAATGCCTCTTTTACCAAGAGCTCGTGTGTTACCATCAACAGTCCCCTCCTGTATCAGTCTGCTGCTGTTTTGGGAGGCAAATGGCCAAAGCCTCTTCTGCTGAAATTGTCAGATATCCGAAATAGCACCAGAAAGTATTTTCATTTATTGTTCGTGTGACTGCATCATCTTTATCTGTAGTTGTTGTGGAGGTTTTTGTTTGATTTTTTTTTTTAAACAAAGTTTATGCCCTTGTCACCTACCCTAAACTAAAAGTGTATCTAGTAGGGATTAAAATAGTTACCATGTACAGGCTCTCAGAGATTGCTTTTCATTTATAGAATGTTTAGAAAGTTTTCCCAGGGAGCCAAAACTTCTGAACTTTTATAACATCATAAGGGGTTTGACAGAAATAAGAATTACTTTATTGACTTGATATTATGGTGTCTCACTGGAGTTGTAGTCCAGATGCCTCATGACCCTGTCTTGAATGTTGTTGTAAGCTCAGTCTGTAAAAGACAATGAGACACTGAGTTGTTTGAAGTACAGTTTCCATGACATAACAGCATTTTAGTCTGAATATTTTAGGATCAAGTCAAAACATTTTTGCCTTGAAAGTGTTTAAGGTGGGTTTTTCTGTTGTGTTATTTTAACAAGTATGCAGCTTCTTGAGGAAAAAACATGTTTTCTGCACCGCCCCCCAAGTCCTTTGTCAACCATCTCCTTCCCCCTCCAATTTTGAGAGCAAGCACTCTTCAAAAAATGTTTATTCCCAGCCACAATAGAAAACAAAAATAGATGTCGCTATGCATCCTCGTTACTTGTTGTTTTTTTTTTCTAGGTATGTACTTCAGTTACAGACACTGAACTGTCTTGTACTGTACAGACATGTCTAGAAAAGTATCCAAATTGTTTCCATATTTTATCATATCAGTTTTTGTAGCCTGCTGAAACAGAGCATTCTTTTCAGTTTCAGTAATTAAAGGAACTGTTGCGTGTGTTTGGTAGTTGTATTTGGTATATCAAATCTTATTTTGTCTTAAATGTGTTTAAAAACTCAGCCTTTATAGTTAAAGCAATATAATTACTGTCATTGCTTTCATTATTGTCATCTTGCAAAGTAAATCTTAGTCATAAAGTTTCAGTGCTGGTAAAGGAAAATTCTCCCTGGTTTCGCTGTGTTTCAGTTTTGTATTTGTGTGTGCCTGCTCTTTATCTCTAGATGGTACAGAGATACGTGACTTTGTACAACAAAGCTGAAAACTGTAGTTTTGTGGTAAAAGTAATGAAGACTTGCTTTCAGTATGCTGTTGTGCAAGTTTAAATTTTTCAGATGATGGCTAATGATTTTGTTTGCTCTTTAAATGGCAAAGGCATAGGGATAAGGGAGAGGCTGGTCCGAAGGTCGGGGTGACAGCCGAGGACTTGGACTTAAGTTGGCAGTTTCCTTCCCCTGCCACAGATTTTGCTTGTGTTGTTGGGCAAATCACCTTTGTGCTCTAGCTGTAAATTGGTTTTAATAGTACTATTCAAATTTGTAGGAGTGTTGTGAGAACAAAGATACTGAAGCAGTTGAAAAAATAGAGGTGTATAAGTTTCTGAAATGGGAAACTATGTTGTTCTGCATCTCCTGTACTTGGCTGACGTCTTGCTTCCCGGTACTTGGTAGGTGGTGCTCTAACTTATACTGTATGGACTCTTGCTCAGTAGCATGGGAGAAGAGGAAGGACTACATCAAACACAATTACTGGTATGTCATTTTTTTGCTTCTTAAATGAAACTGTAATCTAGTATTTTGTGCAGTCTCAGGAACAGGGTGACAAAGAACTGTTTTTATGATAAAAGATACTAATTGAACATAAGTGATATAGAAAAAAAATCAGTGAATGCTGTGGAAGGTTTACCTTTAAGAATCCATAAACATTTTTTTCCTCTGTTTCTACACACCCAAGTGTGTGTGGTGTGTTGAGGTTTTCAAGTTTTCTGCTGTGTTCTGTTCATGTGCTTTAGAATAGCAGATATATGCAAACCAGGTTAACATCCAATTGAAGTTTTAATTATTCTTCACAAGAGTATAAGTTGAAATTAAAGAAGCTTCAGATTCCGTACAGAGTGTTTAATGTTTGATGACATAATCGTACGTGGTGGATTAGTCCCAAAAGATGTCTCTAGAGGTCAAATTTCTCATGGGATCTATGTGTTTAGAAATTACTGCACACACAACTTTGCAGGAAAAATTTAATGGGATATCCTCCCATAGGAAGTTGCAGGAATATCTAAAAATCTGGAAAGGGCACTAACAAGGAAAAACTTGAGTTATATCTAATGGGAATAATTCAAATTTATTAGGTTACGGGAGGAAATTTTAAAAGAAACTTCCAAAGCATTTAATGTATTGATAATCCCTGGATAGTTTTTAAGAAGTCTATGAAAAATGACCATAAGACCAAGTTCATGTATTCTGCATTGTAGTCTCTGCATATTATGGTTTCTAAAGAGTTTTGTACCTTCAGTGGAAAGAAATCTTTAAGAGTTGGCAAATAATAATAATAAAAAAGGTTATTTCATGGATATATATTGCAATGTAAGAAGTATTGTACAGAGTCAGACCAAATGTTTATCTAGCTACTGTGCTATCCCCAGGTTTTCAGGGTAGATAAGTACGTAATATATTTTGAAAGGAACAATGTTGTTGCATTTTGGTGGATTTTGAGTGACTCTAAAAAAGCTGAGTGAGAGCTCTCTGAAAATATGTGGAAAATACCGTAGCAACCAGAAAAGCAAGGCAGAGGTTAGGGCTTACCAAAGGAAATGGAAAATGATACAGAAAGACACTGCAAATAGTATTTTGGTTTTATCAGTTTTTAGTTGAAAAAAAATTGTTTTGTTTGGGTCCCTGCATTTAAAAATATCCACAAATATTGGGCAAACAGGAATTCTAAGGGCAGAAGACTTAGAAGGGACATAACAAAGGTGCATAAGTGTAAAGATCAGATACTAGCTTTCATTTGCAGCCTAATTTTTATAAGACTAAAAGAAGTGACCTCTCCTGCATTTCAAAAAAGTTACTTTGGGTTTCAAGAGGATGAACTGCAATATTTGCATGGGGCACTGTAATTCAGTGCAATTCAGGAGATCTGGAGGCTAGTGCTTGAACGTCGTCCCTCGGAAAATCCAGTGAGAGATTGTTTTGATGTAAATAAAGAGAAGCCTGGATGCACCCCACTTATTTAGCTGGTGAACCTAAACTAGAAGTACAGGAATTTTGCTTTCATATAGTCAACTGGGAAAGAAGTACAGAAGCCCGTACAGAGAATGACTGTGCCTATCCTTACTGGACTTGCACAATTCATACTGGAATTACACAGTTCAGTTACTCACCTGAGTGAGGGAACTGGAAGGACTGCTTTAGGCACCTCAGTTGGATGTCTCAAGTTCTATGGCACAAATCTAGATCTTACTTTCTCTGTAGCCAAAAATAAGCTAACATTTTCAATTATGTTGCTCGTGGTATTTTTTTCATGTTACTTTGTTAGGCCTGTTGATGTTTTGGAGGGGTCATATCTTTTAAAGATGGTGTGCCAGGTTGTATTTTTATTTCCAAAATTAGAGGTTAAGCATGCCAGTAGAAACTCGGGAGGAGCGAGGAGAAACTGCCTCTCCAGTAGGTGAAATGCAGCTGTTGAGATGTTTGCTTCTGTGCGAAGCAGCGGCTCCTGACTCCCATCAAGTGTGGAGCTTAATGGGAGCCAGGAGCTGGGAGTCCCTGCCTCTCTCCGATGCCATGACTTGCGGACCTGCTCACCCCTGGTTCCCCAGTGCCGTCTTTGGGACCCAGTCCGTATGTTCCTGACCTCTGTTGTACCACACTGGCCATTCTATAACCTGGTATGACAATTCTGATGTTCCTATCTTAAAATATTTTGCCGTTTTAATGTAAGATGAAAGTTTTCTGTTCTGTTTTTTAGGTTTTTTTTACCTCCCTCTTGAGCTGTAGTTTACATTGTACAAGATTTTATTTTTTATTTTTTAACAGGACACGATGTTTGTGAGAGGATTAAAGAGAAAATGTTTTGATGGCGAAGAAGATATTGAAGGAACTCTGGCTGGTATTAAGGCTATTCCTTCATACAATCTTCAGCGGCAGTCACTTTTAGATATGTCCTTGGTTAAGCTTCAGCTGTGTCACATGCTGGTTGAACCTAACCTTTGTCGTTCGGTACTTATAGCCAACACGGTACGGCAGATCCAAGAGGAAATGACTCAAGATGGGACTTGGCAGATGATAAATACACAGAGTACAGGGCAGGCATCCCTGGATCGCCTCGTTTCAACAGATATCCTCTGTCGTTCATCTAGGGAACAAGCTGAGGGAAAGCATGTTCCAGGCTATAGTACTTTCAGTAAAAACTTTGAGGGTGACCAGGCACGAGATAGTTCAGAAACAATGTCAACAGCCTCTTCAGTGCAAGCTCCAAGAAACCTGCATAGCAACGTGTGGGAAATGGAGACTTCACAAGAAAATAAAGGAAACTTTCAAAAATCATTAGATCAAATATTTGAGACACTGGAAAACAAAAGTCCTAATTCTGTTGAAGATCTGTTTTCAGAAGTTGACAATTCTTACTATGATCTTGATACTATGTTAACAGGCATGATGAGCAACACAAAAATGGGACACTGTGATGGGCTTGAAACGTTTTCTTCTCCAACAACTACAACTTCTAACTCTAATTGTAAATCTGATCTTAACGAGCTTGATCATATTGTGGAAATCCTTGTTGAATCCTGAAAGTCCTTGTGTAGGAGGTAAAGATCTGTTAATGGGAAAAAAAGACTCGAGAAAGATATTTCTACAGTTTGTTCTATCAAATCTGCATGTGTATTTTGCAAATATCTATATATTATATAGATATATATATTTAAAAAGCACTTCATATTGCAAAATGGTGTTAACTCTTAAAGTTAACCTGCAACTTGTAGTGTAATAATCCGATTTACTGTCCATTGAACTGTAAGTGCATACGGTAAATGTTTCTAAGTTTGGGGTCCAAGGCTCTTGAAATTGGGTTCCTTTTACCAATGTGTTTTAGCCTTTGATGGAGGATATCCTCAGTGAGAGGGAGTCTCTCATCTTTTTCTTATACTTCTCCCAGTAAAAATGGTAATAAACATAGAGAGAAGCTGGATAACTGGGTTTCCTATTTTCCTCCGTTTTCCACTTTGTTACACCGTGTAATTCCTCCCATATCTGCTGCTTCTATCTTAAGTTGCTACATGGCTCTTAAAGAGCAGTATGCAATAGTTCCTGTTATCCTAGCTTGCTTATTCTGTTTTTTGCTACAATTTTTACTTCAAAAATAGTTTTAAAGTGTTTATTGGTGTTTAGATTTTTCCAGGTATTTTCCTAAAATATATTTTTACTACAGATGTTATGTCAGCTGCTAACTTAGTAACTTTTGATCGTGTCTGCAGTTGATGTATTTTTTGAAAGATTTTCAAAAAGGGATGTTTTTTTACCATGAGCTACCCAATGTGGTTCAGTAAAGTGTATGTAAATGTAAATATACAGTTTTATACTTTACATTAAAATGTAAGAGCTGTTTTCATGATTCTGTTTTATAGAGTAGTACTTTACTAAATTGAGAATTGTACAATTATGCTATTCATACCCCATATACTTGAGTATCATTAGAAGAAGAGCTTTGATCCAGCTAGATACAATTACATTTCATTCATTTCAGACCATATTTTTTTAACTATGAAGCTAAATTACGTAGGTTTTTATTTATGTGTATTTATATGTAAATGTCATCAAGTGAATTGTTTATCACTGAAGTCTACCATCAAATATTTGTTTATATGGGATAACTATCTTGCACTAATTACTACAAAAAGTGTTATTAGTGGCCTTTAAATCTCAACTGGTATGTCATAATGTCTTGTCATAATTAATTTGCTTCACTCTTACCAAGGGTTTCCTCTTGGCTTTTTTTAATAACAAAAGATAATACAACATGGGGTGGTGTTCTTTTCTTCAAGTACTCACCTTCATTTTAGAGAATATATAATTATTGCTGTCAGACTTTCGGGGGGGAAAGGGAGAGATTTACAGTGTATGATTTTCTTATAAAAAGACAAATGTTTACCTTCACAAGCTCTAGCAGTGAGGTAGAGAAGAGGGAAAAGAGGGATTGGTTCCTGGAATGTTTTCTGTAGACCTGAGCCAAGCAAGTTGCTGAACATGAAGAGAGTACATTTCTGCATCTGACAGACTCTGCCTTCGCACAAGTGACCTTACCTACTCCACACTATCCTTTTCAGATTCTCAAACTCTTAAAAAGAGGAGAGTGGGGCTGGGGGGG